ACCGGGCCCGCACGCTGCCGCCAAGGCCAAGGCCCGAGCCCGGCCCAGGCCCGAGCCCGAGCCCGGGCCCGAGCGGGCGCCCGACCCAGGCTGGGGCCACCGCCTCCCCTTGGAGATCCTGGTGCAGATTTTCGGGCTGCTGGTGGCATCCGAGGGGCCCAAGCCCTTCCTGGGCAGGTAGGCCACCGAGCGACCCCGCTGTTCGAGCCGCGTGCACGTCGCGCTCCGAGCCTCGCGGGGACTGAGTTCCCTGCCTAGGCTCCCTCAGACGACTTCTTTACCAGGGCTGCCCGCGTGTGCCGCCGCTGGCGCGAGGCCGCCTCCCAGCCCGCGCTCTGGCACACCGTGACCCTGTCGCCCCCACTGGCCGGCCGCCCCCCCAAAGGCGGAGCCAAGGCGGAAAAGAAGCTCCTTGCTTCCCTGGAGTGGCTTATGCCCAACAGGTGAGGGGGGGCGGTTATTCCTTTTTCCGAGGCACCCTGCTCCATCTGTGGGGTGTGGCCAGCCCGGGCCACTCCCACTTCCCTGCCCCCGTAGCGGCGTGGGCGGGGCCCGGGGCAGCTGTGCTTCTGCTGTCGGCCCAGGTTTTCCCAGCTCCAGAAGCTAACCCTCCTCCACTGGAAGTACCTGGTGCAGCCCGTACTGAAGGTGAGCTGGGCGGCAGTACACCAGGGTGACACTCCTGGGTCCAGGAAGGGGGCCAGGTGCCACCGGGAAGGGTCTTCCCTGCTCCTCAGGAGGATGGTGTCAGAGGTGGGAGATCGCAGGTATTTGATGGCTGTAGCCTTTTCTGGCCTCTCTTCTCCTGTTTGGCCCCCTTTCCACAGCTCGTGAGTGAGTGCTGCCCTCGGCTCACCTTCCTCAAGCTCTCCGACTGCCAGGGGGTGAGCCCTGCCACCCTGGGTCTGCTAGCCAAAGCATGCCCCCTGCTCCATAGCTTGGACCTGCAGCACTCCACGGTAAGCCTGGGATCCTCCCGGGGAGCTGAAGGCATGGGGCTGAGGTAACAGGCCCCCCTGTGTTGGGTCCCCAGGTGGAGTCCACAGCTGCAGTCAGCTTCTTGGAGGTGGCTGGGCCCCGGATGTGCAGGCTGTGGCTGACCTACAGCTCCCAGACCACGGCCATCCTGAGCCCACTGCTGGTAGGTTGGCGATGGGCAGGACACAGTCAGATCCTGAGCTCGGCCCCACCAGGCCCGATCCATCCTCCCCATCCCTGCAGGGCAGCTGCTGCCCTCAGCTCCAGGTCCTGGACATGAGCTCCGGCGTCCACCGCAACACCAACCCCCTCCATCTGCCAGTCGAGGCCCTGCAGAAAGGCTGCCCCCAACTGCAGGTACCTGCTGCCCACCACCTGCAGCCTGGGCCACACCCTACCTGCCTCATCTTCAGCCCGGCCTTCATCCCCAGGTGCTCCGGCTGCTGAACCTGATGTGGCTGCCCAAGCCTTTGGAGCGAGCGGGTGCCCCGGGCCCAGGCTTCCCGGCCCTGGAGGAGCTCTGCCTTGCAGGCTCCACCTGCACCTTCGTGAGCAATGATGTTCTGGGCCGGCTGCTGCACGGTTCCCCACGCCTGCGCCTGCTGGACCTGCGTGGCTGTGCGCGAGTCACGCCTGCTGGCCTACACCATCTGCCCTGTCAGGGTCAGGGGCCCTCGGGCTGTGGGTAGTGGAGGTGGGCCCTGGAGGCCCTTGTCACCCCTTGCTCATGCTGTTCCCTTGTCTCCAGAGCTGGAGCAGCTGTACCTGGGCCTGTATCACACGTCTGACCTGCTGACTCTAGCCAAGGAAGGCAGCCCCTTACTGACCCAGAAGTGGAGTCGGACCCTGCGGGACCTGGACTTAAGCGGCCAGGGCTTCAGTGAACAGGACCTGGAGCAGGCGCTAGCTGCCTTCTCGGGACCCTTGGGGAGCTCTCACCCGGCTCTGTGTTCCCTCAACCTCAGGGGCACACGGGTCACAGCCAGTGCAGCCAGGTGAGCACCACCCCCAGCCCACCAACCCTGGCATACCATCCAGGGTCTTGGAGGAAGCATGCACTGGCACTTGGAGGCTCTGGCCACCAAGGCCCTGGGCTGTGAGTGACGGAGAGAGCCCAGGGCTCGAGGGGCTGGGCCAGGCCTCTGGGCAGGGTTTGACCCCTCGGCCCGGCCCTGTTGCCACAGCTCGGTCATCAGCAGCTGTCCAGGCCTGGTGTACCTCAACCTGGAGTCCTGCCGCTGCCTTCCGCGGGGCCTGAAGCGGCCCTACAGGGGCCTGGAGGAGGTGCAGTGGTGCCTGGAGCAGCTGCTCACCAGCCCTCTGCCCCCCAGCTAGGCCTGTGTGCCGCGTGTGAGTGTTTTGTTACAATAAAACTTCTTTAGGAACTCCGTGATCCTTGAGGTAGGGGGGAGGGTTTGCAGCGCAGAGAGGGAAGAAACAGCCGACTGACTCAGCGACTGGCTTGGCTTGCAGGCCTCCGCCGGCCCCTCAAGGGGCGGGGCTTCTCTTGCCAGGAATGTGTGTGTTGCCGAGGTGGGGCGGTGCCTGGTACCAGCAGAGGTGATGGCCTGCCCTTTGGCGATTGGTGGAGCCTGTGTACTCATTCAGCGGAGGCCTGGAGGCCAAGCTGGGCTCCCACACCTGGAGGGAAGCCCCGCTGACCGGAAGGGAGGCCTTGGGTGAGTGGGTGGGGCCGACCCAGGAAGTGCACGCCCACTACGCGGCTTGAGGTCAACAACCACCGCTTCTAGAACGTGCAGCCCAGAACTTCCGAAGCCTCCCAGTCTAGGCTTGGCCTCGTGCCTGTCGTCTTGTGTGCTGCGTAAGAGCCGCAACCCTGGACGTTGTTCATTTAAAGGTGCGAGCGAGCGAGCGAGCGCCGTAGTGGGTGGTGGTCCCTGGCAAGCCACCCCCCCTGACCACCTGTGCCTGCCCAGGTTCCCAAGGGCCACATCAGTGGCTTCCCTACGATCTCAGTCGCGAGCCGCTTCCAGCTATGGGCACTGGGATGCTTCTGTAATGAGCGCCACTTGGCCAAGTGCATCAAGGGCAACAGTTTCTACCCCTTCATCAGGCTGCAGCCCAACGGTGTGCGCGTAGTGGGGTGTGGGGCTGGCAGGCTGCGGGGCGGGGTGAGGCTGGACATGGGGGGGGGGGGGCCAGGAGCCTTATGCACCGTCCCCGCCCCCACCCAGTGTTCGCGCTCGAATACTACCAGGACACCCTGTGGAAGGGGGCTCTGCTGTTGGTCATCAGCCTCAGCGTAGTCCACTTAGATTTCGAGGTCTGCGCCCCTGGGCCCAAGCCCCTCGCCTTCTTCCCGGGAAGGCTGGACACACACCCCACCCCGCACTCTCACCGGGGACCCTTCCCCTGCACGCCTTGCCCCACCGCCCCCAGCCCCCAGCCCCCAGTGGCCAAGTCGACCACCCACGTACCCCACAGGTGCTAGAACAGAAGACTTGGGGCCTGCCGGCCTACGGCATAGTGGTGGGGCTGTGGCTCTTTGCTTCGTCGCTGCCGCACCGCCGCCTGGTGCTGAACCACATGCGCGGTCTGTACCACTTCTCCATCCAGGGCCACACTGTGTACCAGGGCCCCTTGCACCTCATCTACGTGCGCCTGGCACTCAACTCCGACGGTGACTGATGAGCGGGGCAGGCGGGCTGGCGGGGCGACTGAGGGTGGGGCGAGGCGGCTGAGCCCCGCTCCCCTGTCAGCCTACGGAAGGTGCTTTTTCCAGCTAGTTCTGTGCGGCCACAAGCTGGAGCCACTGGTGCTGGTGGAGCTGTCCGAGCACTATGAGGTGGGTCCCGCCCTCCCTTGAGCCTGGACGCTTGTAGCCTTGTTAGGGCCTTAGGACCCTGCAGTCCCGAGGTGAGTGAAGAAGGCTGAGCAGGGCCGACCACCCGCCGCCTCCACAGCAAATGGAGTTCCTGGGCCGGCACATCGCCCGCAAGCTCAACATTAACTACTTCGACTACCGGACCACATCCTACCGGCACGTGGTCCGCCACTGGCCGCTGAGGGCCAGCCAGAGCCCAGGCATCGTCCTGAGGAAGGATCGCACCTACAACCAGGTCAAGGGCTCCCGAATCAATATGGAAGTGTAACCTTCCACACTGCCTTAGACCCTCAGCTCTTTAGCCTCCCCCTCTCCTTCCTTGCCCCCTGGGACAGCTCTGCTCAGTCCCACCCATAGCCTTCCCTTCAATAAAGCTGTCTTCCTGGTTCCAACGGCCCTTGCCTTCTGTGTGTGTG